CAAAACCGTCCACAATGTTGCGGGTGAGACGAAACGGCACAAGCTCCGGCACAGGAAGCTGCTTTCCCTGGTCGAAGGCAAACCCGAGGTCAATATGCACAAGCTCCGCCCGCTGGGTGTGCAGAAGGAGGTTGTTGCCATGACGATCCCCAAGCCCGACAATGTAGCCAATAATGCTGGAGGCTGCAACACTACGTGTGTAGGCCTCACGCCGTTCTAGCCATTCCTGTGGAGTGAAAAAATGCTCAAGAAAAAAATAATGCAAAGCCGGGCTAAACTCCGCATACAAGTCAAGAAGAACACCATGTTTCTGTGACTTGTTAGCCTCCTGTAATCTCGCACGGCACTCCAAAGTCGTTGGTTCACCAGGAAAGTATCGTTCATGAGCGCCCGTCTGAAATCGCAGCCTGTTGGTGTTTGTGCCACCACCGTTGGGATCACCATTAAGATACTGCCCAAGTGGAATCGTCCCATCCACCCACTCAATGATACCAACAGTGGGGGCAAGTGGAACCACATTGTACGTAAAGACATGCAACCGACACGTCCTTTTATCCTGCGCAAGAAGTTGGTTTGAGAGACAAAACACCTGCTCAATGAGGCTATCCTGCCGCATATCATCCTCTGATTTAAGCAACTGACGCACGATCCGGCCATCGCTCAACACACAACGGAGTGCCTTTGGAAGATTTATCCCACCTGGGGTTGTGAAGGTATTCTCATACCGTACAATTTTGGGTAACTGCTGCAGCAGTGCAGGCAACGCACTCCGTGATGCCAGGGAAAATAACGGCAGTGTGAAGGTCGGCGGGGGAATGAGAAGGTCCCGCACGCCCTTTTCAGTGATCATAAAATCAGCTGGGATACGATGATCTGGCCTGTATTTGTTATATACGCGATAAAATGCCAATTGAATATACGCCGCCGATAACCTCTCCGCCTCTGTCACAATTTTTTCTCTCCAGCCACAACGCCTCCCCTTATTCTTATTCTCCTTCTCTTTCTTCATGGTGCTGCTGTCATCCTCAGCTCCATCTTCATCTTCATCATCATCATCATCATGGCGGTTGGTAGGACTCTTCAGAGTGCGGAGAATTTGACGTGCGAGCGTCACTTTCTTCTCATCCACCACATGCAACCCACTACTCCCACCGCCATGCGCTACGGTGGCAACGGCAGGACCAAAATTTTCCCCATTTGCAAGGGCAAGCAGCGGCCACACGGCGTGCAGAGGGTTCTCCATGGCAATGTGCAGCACAAGACTCTCCAGGTTGGTGTCATCCAGCGATGTGCCAAGCTGCGCCACAAGCTGCGAAAAGAGAGGCAAAAACTTGTGTAGAGGAACATTTTTAATCGCCTTCTGAATGATACCAGAGGTGACCGAGGCGGCGGAGCCAGCCGCTTTTAAACGACGCTCGTCCAGTCGCTCGTCCTGCTGCAGCCACAATGAAACAAAGGCAAACACGGCAAGAAGGCTATCCGACTCGGCAGGCCCACTCCGCTCTAGAAATCGTGCATATGCGTTCAAGGCACTGCGGCGGTATAATGCATACATCTCCACCTCCCGCTGCCACTCATCCTCCTCGCGTGTCGTCTCCACCGCCAATGTGCGAATGCGGCGTTGTAAAATTCTCTTCTCCGCATCACTAAGCCCATCAGACATCTGTTGCTGCTGCTCCAACTCCACGCGAATACGATGGGAGGCGCCAATACTTTCCTGCAGCTTGCGATACTCCTCGCTATGCAGACGTGCTGTGATATCACGTACAAGCGTGTGACATAAACGGGCCAACTGCAGACAACACACGCCCGTCCGGTCATTTTTCACAGATAACAGAAGGAATGGATCCCGTACAAGCTGAGAAAGTGGCACCAACCGTGCCTCTCTGGCCCACACAACAAGTTGCTGAACAATGGCCGGCATCTGCGGCGCATTCGCTGGCATAGGGAAAAGAAGCCCATTCATCACCGACGTAGGCTCTTCCAACGGACTCCTTTCCGTGTTCTGAAGTATGGCGATCGCACGATGTGGACGACCACCCACAAACTCCGCACGTGCCTGCACAAGCGCTAAAAACGCAATGGCAGGCAACTCATGTGATGTAATCAACTTTTCAAATATTGTGCCATCTTGCTGAAAGGGCTCGTTTTCCTCCCTTTTCACGCCGCATTGGGACTCCATGTCCCCTCCAGTAAACTCGCTGTATGCCGAAAGCCATTGATGCACTAACACTGGCCTGTTGCTGCGCAGGGCACGCTCACTGCTGTTTTCCAGGTGCGAAAGCCACCATTGCGGCTGACGATACAAAACACAAAGGCGATGATGCACACTATCCAGTAGTTCCAGCTCCCGGTAAGGCGCATGCAAATGAACCAAGGACGCACGTACCCAAGGTGGTGGGTGCCGCATGCCACCTGCCCTTTTAGCCTCAACAGTGGAAGAAGTGGAGGAAGATAAAGAAGAATGCGATCGCAAAAAAAGACGACCGCACTCCTCAATGTCATGCAGTGCTTCTGCCTGCAGCATCGACTGAAACCAGTTTGTCTCATCAAATTGGCATGCCAATCGCTGCAGCGCCTGTGTGGTCCACCGTCGTACGTTATGGTGTTCGCCGTGGTGCGCAGCACGCATGGCATAGAAAATACCCTCTTCCACTGAAACAAGAGACGGCAGTAACAAATCCCGACGTTGCTTATGATGACGGTGTGTTCCTTCTGTTTCCTCAAGAAAATCCAAATCCCAGCGGCCGAGACGCCAGAGCGTGGCTGCCAGTGCCGAGCGTAGTTGCAAGAAGTAATCCTCCTCTTCCTCCTCCGCACCCGTCTCCTCTTTTACTTCGTGTTTCCCACGCCTCTTATCACCGGTAGCAGCAAATAAGAGCGGGGGAGCATGCCGCTTCAGCGCCGCCGCAAGCATCTGCACTGCCGTATCCGCAGCCCCCAGCTGCATCAGAGCGTTCGCCTTCTCCACCAACAGACGGGAACTGGAGAATCCACACGCAAAATATGAACGATGAATTCCGCTAGAAACACGCATTGGCCTCATGGCCCCTTCAATGCGGTCGATTAGGAGAAGCACCGCATGCCAATTCCCGCGGCTCTTCTCGCGCTCCATGAGTCGCGCGGGGTGCTGCAAAAAAAAGGCCTCCTCCCAGGGCGACATGTAAAAATTCAAATCACCACCATCGCCGGCCGTCTGCATGACGCTGCTATTGTTCCCTACAGCGGCTGAGCCATTTCTTCCTCCCCCACCAACACTACTATTCCTGCTGTCGCTAATAACTATGCCACCATTATCGCTCCCGTCACGGAAACGCAATGTGGTCTCCACATCGACAAGAACGGCATACACCGCCGCACGATACGTGGCAAGTCTCTGCGTCATTTCGGCCTCCGTCTCATCCCCGCGCAACATCCGTCGGTGGCCTTCCTTCGATGCATCCTCGCGGGAAGAAGGTCGTCGTTTGGATGGAAATAAGACGGAGCACTTTGGTTGGCCAACAATTGTCATCGCAGCAGAAGGAATGCCCTTACGCCGCCCAAGCAAAGACTCCCCACTAAGTTCTGTAAAGAGTGCGGCGAGGTGTGGCTCGTGGCATGTCACGGCGGCCGAGGCAAGAACAAGTGGGTCAATGTCCGACAGCCAGTATGAATCCCGCAAATCCGACAGCTCGGGAAGCTCACCGTACTCGCTGCGCACAAAAAGCGGAAACGTAAGAGAGGCAGCCGCGGCTTCCCACTCCGATGGCGACATCCGTGAAAGAGGGTTACTTTCCCAGTTCTCGGACCGCACACCATGACTGCGCACCACCGTCATCAGCACGGAATGACAAACGTTTAACGCACGTAGAAATAAACGAGTCATGTGAAGAAACCCACATGCCCGTCGAAATAAATGCGTCTCAAGAGCCCGGGACCACACGGCACGTTGCGACCGCTGCGTCTCACTCTCCCTCATCAGCATCGTGTGTAGCAAAACGATGGGCAAGTAACTCTCAATAAATAAAATCAGACCTCCACTCCGGCTTGAAAAGGGTCGCAGCAGCACGTGATGGAGAACCGTCGCGACCGTCGAAAATCGATGGTGCAAGTTGTAATGCCGAATCAGGGCAACCAGGAATAAACGCAGGAACTGGGACTCATCTTCATGCACCCTCAGAGCATCCCACACAACCTCATCCAGTAACGATGCCACTTTCAGCGACGTCTCCACCAAAACCGTCGCATGTTTTTGCGGCTGAACATCAAAAAGCTGTCGCCGAAAGGGGAGGATGTCCTTCAGGCGAATAACTGATGAGGCATGACTCCCTTTGACGTCTCCTTCCTTTTCCTCTTCTTCTTCTGGGGGTGGAGGCGATGCCTTTTGTACATCACCCTCTTGCTTCGTCTCATCTCCACTGAATTCTTCCAATGTCCGTCTAATGAGATCCCCCTCATCACCAGCGCCACGGCGACGATGCGTATTCGACGCCACCGCACACGTCCTTGTTGACATGATCACATTCTCTGAAGCACCATCCACTCCTTCCCCGATGGCTTCCACGCCGTTGTTGTCGGTGGTGATGCCACAAAGCCAGCCTCGGAGTGTGGTAGAAGCAACGCGGGCAACGTCAGCATCCGCGTCAAAGGCAAGACGGTACAACTGCTCCACATGTTGACGATAAATGCAATGTAACACCTTGTCAAAGGGCCACCCTTGCAACATCCGCTGCATGGCACCAACGGGGTACAACAGTGCGTCCACGTGACCCTCCGCGCCGGCCTCAATGAAGCACCAACACAATGCACGTAACAAACGAAAGACACTTAATTGCACTTCCCGAGTTGTTTCCTGTAATAACTTAAAAGCTGTACTGGTGGTAGTAGTAGGCGTCGTCGTAGTCCTCATCCTTGTCAATGG